ATAACACAAGTGATGCCATTTCCATTCATAAAACAAGATAAAAAGGTTCAAGACATATCCATAGTCAAATAAAACATAAAATGCATAACCCTAAGATGTCCATCCTAAAGATTAGCCAAACTAAAGAAATATCAAGTTAGGTGGCATCAGGTGGAGGTGGAGGAAAAAAATAGTTAACAAGCCGATCAAGCTTTCCTTCCACGTTAGTCATTCTCCCTCTCATTTCTGTCCGGAAACCATAAAAGTCGGTGTGTAGCTGCTGCATCTCAGATATCATTACCTCCATGGTTTCACAGTTTGTTCTTTGCATGGAGGCTCGAAATGGTCTTGGGCTGTCATCTTCATGTTCTTCTGCCCCTTGTTCTGCTATTTCTTGATCTGTATCACCTTCTTCTTCATCCCCTTCTTGTTCCCCTTCTTGTTCCCCTTTCTTTATCCAAATGCCATTTCTAAACAAACAATCCATTTTCTCAAAAGAGGCTTTGGTAAGTGTAGTCCCACCAGGAACCGTTCCAAACCTAAAGGATGTAAGATCAATGTTGTTCCTCTTCACCAATCTGGTAATTAGAGCACCATGAGGAAGTCCCGTAGTTGGTGAGTAAGGCTTGATTATGCTCCGGAAAATGAATCTTCCTGGGTTCACCCTTTTTTCGTTAAGAAAATAGTCAAACCAGGGAAGATCACTGGTAAGAACATAAGATTTAGAACCCTTCCTTTGAGCAATAATACAAGATATAATCCACCGCAATGCTCTATTCTCTGGTGAAAGAGACCCCACTTTAATTTGATTTTCAGTGCAATTGGGGGCAATTGTGGCTCTAACTAAAGCATGATTCACATCTAAAAACTCATCATCTCCTCCTTCAGGTATATCTAATACAGCACAAATATCCTTTGGAGAAAACTGAAATGACACCCCAGCAACCATAGTTTTGCATTTGTTCCCTCTTGGTTTCAAATTAGCATAAATTTGATGAACAACTTCATAATACACATGCTCTTTAACTTCTACATAATCCTTCCACCCAAGTTCTCTAAAAATTTGTTCAACACGCATATCTTGTTGAGGAAATTGACTAAATTTTACACAATTGCAAGATAAAACAGCCATGTTCTTGATACTTTCATATTTTGTAGAGGCTTGGGTATCCAAAAAGAGATTTAATTGGGAGATGTTACCTTCTTCTTCTTGAGCTTGACCACCAATGCTAGAACTACCCACTTGTCTCCTTTTACTTCCAACCCTTCTTAAAGCCATGAGAGAGAAATCCCAACAGCCACACCAAAAATACAGCAGATCCCACACAAATTGAAGTGAAATGCTTGAGGTTTTGTGTTGGGTAGGCAAGTATTTGATGGTATTTGAGTGTTTAAGGGATGGGTTTTGGAGATTTGGAGGGATTTTGGTGTTTGGGAGAGTGAATGGCAAGTTTTGGGAGAGGAGAGGTCGCTGGTTTGAAACAGATTTGGGTTGGTTTGTGCAGGGAGAGAGAAACCCGAGGCTTTAAAAATTCTGCAAGAGAGCCTGCTATAATTGCAGAGCCGGCTGTACAGCGGGTCCGGGTTCGGGTCGCTTGCGATTGAGCCGACTGGTAAACCTAAAGCCAGCTGTGGCTTAGAGAGAGAAGACTCTCGGTTTTTTGGGTTGAGCCAGCTGTGAACCTAGAGCCGACTGTGCTGTAGAGAGAGAATACTCTTGGGTTTTTGGTTGAGCCAACTTTGAAAAGGGATGAGCCGGCTCTACTGGCCTTGATTGGAACAAACAGAAAGTTTGGGACTGTTTTGAAGGGAATGCACCCTAATTTGATAACTCTTCATTTAACTAAGTTTAAATTGGACATCCACTACTAAATAATGCAACTTTAGTCATATATCAATGAATGCATCATCAAATATCATGAATATAATCAAGGTACACAAATCCTAATAATCAAATTCATTAATTTCAAGAATCATATCAAGCACTAGGATCCAACATGCCAAGCTCATTAATTTGCATAAATTTTAATAATCACATCAAATGATATCATATTCAATAAGTATATATATCAAAGAGTGAACACATACACAAATTGAAGTAATTATACTCAATGAATAAATGCAATAAATAATACCAATTTGAGCACATGAGTGGAGCATTCAAAAACAAATTTCCTTTGCACTTCCACTCCAACATTCTTGTTGAGGCATAAGTCCTTTTTAAGATCTATTTTGCTTTCCTTATGACTTTGCTATCAACTTTTCCTACAAAACAAAATTAAGTTTTGATTTTTGGTACCCAAATTTGCTTGGGTCCATGGGAGTTAGTTTTTATGGTTCCTTTTGGAACCCAAATTTGTTTCACTTTACCTTGAGCTATTAATCTTTTTAAAGGACAAACATAAGCAAAGTGTCCATTTGCACTACAACAATAACAAGTAACACTAGGATGATATGATTGATTTGCTCTTACAGAGGTAGTCTTAAAAATCTTTTGCTTTTTAGAATAATCAAATCCAATGCCCTCTTTGTCATAAACATTTCTTTGAGATTTTAAGATAGAATCAAATTTTTCTTTACTCAAAGTAAATTTGAAAATCACATTTTCAAGATCACAAGCTTTTCTCTTTAAAACCTCATTTTCCTTCTTTAAATCTTCATTTCCTTTCTTTAAATCCTCATTTTCCTTTTTCAAAGCATTATTAGACTCCTCATTCTTTAAAGAAGCAATCTCACCATTTAAAGATGCATTCTCTTTAACTAAAACCTCATTTTGTTTTGAGAGAGATTCAATCTCATTCCTAAGCAATGTAATGGTTTTAGTAAGAGCAATATTGTCATTTCTTAGTTTCTTAATGTCATTCATAGAGCAATCAAGAACTTTGCATAAATCATCATAAGAATACTCAAATGAACTTTCATTAATTGAACTAGAGAAGTTAGAGTTTATCTCTTCATCATTGTAGCTGTCCTTTTGAGCCATGAAGCAAAGATTTGCAACACCTTTCTCCAAGGAGCTTTCACTTTCTGTTGAGCTAGTCTCATCATCACTCCAAGTGGCAGCAAAAGCTCTTTTCTTCATGCTCTTCTTGCCTTTCTTCAAATTGAGACATTCATTTCTATAGTGCCCCATCTTGTTGCACTCATAGCATTTCACACTCCTTTTGGTAGACTCTCCTTCATCTCTTTTTGCAAGCTTGCTCTTGATGTTCTTCTTCATGAATCTCCTCACTTCTCTAAAGATCAAGGTGGAGATGTTTTCACCATCACTAGCATCATCTTCACTCTTTTCCTTTTGGTTGCCAGCCTTGAACGCAACATCCTTCTTCTTCTCAACTATTTCAACTCCACCATTTCTATCTCATATGTCATCAATTTACCAATGAGATCTTCAAGCTTGAGAGTGTTGAGATCCTTAGATTCTTCAATTGCCGTCTTCTTAGTTTCCCAACTCTTAGGCAAGCTTCTAAGAACCTTTCTCATCACTTCTTGAGAAGGATAGACTTTACCAAGAGCCTTGAGATTGGTGACTATGTCATTCAATCTTGTATACATATCTTGAATGCTCTCCTCCGGTTTCATCTTAAAAAGCTCATACATGTAAATGAGTCTATTGATTTTTGACTCCTTTACTTGGCTTGTTTCTTCATGAGTGACTTCTAGCATGTCCCACATCTCCTTGGCCGTATCACATTTGGATACTCTATGGAATTCCGTTGGATTGAGAGCACATTGAAGCATGTTGATTGCTTTGTTGTTGATCATGATCTTCCCCAAGTCTTCATCATTCCATTCAACTTCTTCCTTTGGCACCTCTCTTTCTCCAACAACTTTCATAGGTACATATGGATCTTTTATAGTAACAATCCATGCCGTGGGCACATTTGCAAGCATAAAAACCTTTATCATATTCTTCCAATAATTATAGTTAGTCCCATCGAAGAAAGGAGGTCTAGTGGTAGACAAACTTTCAAGTGGTTGAAAAAATAGAAATTGAACCATCCCCGATCAACTCCTAGGTGGTTAAACCTTCAAATTGGAGCCCTTGCTCTGATACCAATTGTTGACTCAATGCACTCCAATAGGGGGTGAATTGAAGTTGGAGAATTTTT